TGACACCAACCACCACGCCCTTCCCTTTTGACTCAGTAATTTTGAAGGAAATAATTCCTTTAAGGCCTGCCTTCATCATTTCATATCTCTGCTTAAAGACAACAAACTGAATTCCCTGCTTGATGGGAAGCCCTTCGAAGAAAATTAGGCATCACGACTGTTTACAAAGTCTGCCGAGTGTTTTTAGGCTGCTTTTGAGACGGAAAAGCCATTTCCTGCCATCTGGTGAGCACCTGCCCAGCCAAGACAGCCAGCTTTGTTTAACAGTGACATGTTTGATTTTACATACTGATTAGAAAAAATGTCACACTCTGAGAAGCTAAGTAAAACTAAGCTCAATTAGTCCTGTACTTGGCATTCCCTTAAAGTATGAAGCTAGCCACATAACTTGTTCCCTTCACATTTTGTGCAGTTTGTTGACAGTGATACTTTAAGGAATCTGAAGAAAAAGCTTCATTACATTCAGATATTCTCATTTTGTATCTACCGCGTGTCTGTTCCAAATTTTTTTCCTTACTATGAATTTAGTAGAAACAAGCTGATATACTGTTCTGTGTAAAGATATCATTAGCATGGTTAAGTAGGACAGTTGCTAGCTATATTGGGTAACTGCCATACCTAGTTAAACAGATGACCAATAACCCACTGATTACTGGGGTGTGATATTCAGGCCAAAGTTTTTTTTACTCTGAAAGTTATATCAGGTTACCAGTACATTTAGCAACGTATAACATGTTAAAATGTAATTTTTGTATAATCCCAGACTCCCAAACTCCTGTAATAATGCTATCTTAATGATGCATCTAATATGTTAAACTAAAGGTTGTACTATTAATGTCATTTATGTGCTGTATTAGCAGGATATGTTGGCCGTGAGCTTCAAATAATACTTGTAACATTCTAAAAGTAGACTATTAGAGTATTACTGTAATTCCTGCCATGTCTTTGAATTTTCTGTGGAAGCAGTTCCACAAGGAATTCTGTCTTTCTAACAGAGATGTTTCGGATATTGTACAGAGGTATATTGAGTATTCAACGGACATGTTGAGATTCAACTCCTAGAGAAAAATGTTTTCTGTCAGTGTGAAATGTAGATTCACTAAACAAACTAGCCCTTTTATTCACAGTGGCTTTGTTTTTGTGGGAAAGATAGGATCTACTAAACAGCCAAGAAGCCATGGGCCAAAAGTACTTTACTGAAGGACCCCTTTTGGAAAAACTGTGATTGCTTGCAGACGACACAAGCTGATTTTACTGTTTGCTTTGGTTTTATTAGTGACCAAAAGCCTCTTGGCAATGTCAAAAGGAGCAAAACCAGGAATGAAGGGATTGTATTCCTGACGTCTTCTCACATATACTTGGTGACGTGAAAAGAGTTTTCAGCTTCTCAACAGCTGCCTGCTTCTTATCAAAAACCAGTTCATAGGGTTGACACATAGGATCTGGAAGAATTTTTCCTTCTCTTTTTATTGTTTTTTTTTTGCCAGTTTTTTTGTCCTTGAAGTAGGAAGGAAGTTTTCTTAACCAAATCTTTTTTGTTTTCCACTTTACAATGTTTAAAATTTTCCATTAAACCAAGCGCTCATGTTACACATAAATCTATCATGTGGTTAATATTGGAATTGCATTTCTGTGGATGTTGCAAAAGGCGAAGGATTTGCAGCTCTCATAGGTATAACCAACTTGGCCTTTTATAGATTGTAATTGTTGAAGCACAATGTGTGGGAGTCATGAAGATGTTCTACGTTTCTCATAGCACTTCAATAAATCCCTGTGCTCTGTGTGAACAACACCAACCTTGTGCTTGTTATATAAAAATACTTTCATTTTGGTCCAATGTAGTCTTCAAGAGACAGAATGTGTCTTTTCAGGGGAGTGCAGAAAAGAAAATCAATTTAAATAAGTTAATTAACTCATTTTAAGGAGCAGCGGGTTTCTACGTTTCTAGTTATTTAAATACATACATTTAAAGCTTAAATCCTGTCTTTCAGGTAGTAGAAAGCTGGCTGTTATTTTAGCTTCATGGTGTATTTGGGTGATTGCAGTTCCATGGCCATTTTAGGCTTGTTAGTTTCTTTTGGAAATTGAAGTGTCTAGCACAATGTGGTAGCCCTTGAGGAATTATGCAACCATGACATTGAAATTTATGTTATGACCTTTCGGAAATGCTATGCATGCCTTGTGAGTGAGTCACTTTTTTATGAGAATGACAAATGTCATCTATTGTCTAACAGATCAGATGTTTCAGTTCAGCGTTGCTAGTTTATACTTAACACTTTAATTGGAAACTAAAACTGGTAGTAGGTCCAACTTCAAAAGTTTAAAATGGAAAAAGTTTTAAGCTATCTGAATGTTTGGTCTGTTGCAAACGCAGGGTCACAAGCAGTAGTGTTTTTGTGTACCATCTACTGGAACGGTTCCAGGATAAATGCAGGATTAATACTGATAAATTAGTTTCACCTGTGACCATGACTTTATTTACATGTTTTAGTGAGCTCTTCAACATTTCAGAAAGAGAAAACACCCAAATTGTGTGAAGCTCCAGAAGTCTTAAATAAGTAGAAACAGATTTGTTTTAATATAGACACTTGTTGACCAATGGCTATTTCTTCTTTTATGTATTAAACCTTTGGAGAAAGTTTTAACTGTCAATGTGTTTCAGTTAACCTTTCTCAGTTAATGGTTGCTCTGAAAAACAAATAATATTACAGTCCATTATTTTTTCCTCTCCTTTTTGTTAAGTTTTGTAATGCATACAAATTTTAATATGGAAAAATCTACTTTAGTATGTAGGCTAGATTAACATAGTGTCCTCAGAAAGTATTGAGACAGCAATGTCTTAACTGTTTTTTGTGTTTTATAGTCAGGCAGTTTGTAGTTGTAATAATTAGATTAAAAGGAATGAAAAGTACAATAATATTAGTATTAAGTAATTCCATTTGAATGTAGCATAATATTTAAATGAAATTATACTTTGTGTTCAACCCAGTGATTTTAATAAATATTTATTAAAGTCAGTTCCAGAGGTGGCCATACATAGACCATGGAATTACTCACACCATGCTTCAGAATTTACTTGTATGTGCAAAGATGGACCTGGAGAGTTTGGGAGCAATCTTTTATGGACAGATGAAACTGAGTTACTTTACTAAAGTGATGGAAAAGTTGAACCGTGGAAAAAGAAAGTAGCTTCACATGTTCCAAAGAACATCACGTCATCTGTGAGGCATAGTGGAAGTCATATCATGGCTGACTCGTCTTTATAGGTCATGTACCTAATAGTGTCACCAGTAACAGAATTCATTCTGAAGTTTACAGAAATATTTTGTCTGCTTATGTAGGTAAAAATGCTTTCATACTTCCAAATGATCAAAAACAACCAATTCAGTTCATCAGGAGAAAAGAAATTGGGAAATATTTGACTGCCCAAGTCAATATCAAGATTAAAATTCAACTGAGCATACATTTTCCAAGCAGAAGAAACTATTTAAGTCAAGACCCAGGAAGAAGCAAGCACCTAAATGGTAAAGAATTTGGCAAAGAATTTCATATAATTACACAAGGAGTTTGGTGAACACAGTAGGTTGCAGGCTTTGTGCAGTTATTACCCCAGAGTATTATACTCTTAATATTAATTTTTACAGTCTGAAATGTACTTAAAATGAATATGTCCCAATACTTATGGAGATCATTAAAAATGCATGTATCTAAATACATGTTTATTCTAATATGATCAAATGTACACATGGATGTACCCAGTGATTAAAGATGCATTGTACTAGTCATTCCCTTTAATCTCAAGACTGCAAATCCAGACTACTTTTCTGTAAAGCACAAATAATGTTTTTTACTTTGTTGTCCCAAGACATTTGGAAAGTACTGTGAATATTTGGCTCTTCCTACTGTGTAACTGTGTGCCCTTTTTCAAATTCTTTTATACCACATATTTTAGTAGAGGTATTTGAATCATTTCTAGTGCTGTAAGATCATTCTTTTGACATAGACACCTGCGTTCTGGAAAATAGGTAATTTTAGCATTGTAGACTTTCATCATATTAGCTGTCACTGCTAATTCTACAGACTGCAGTAAATCAGAAATAGCTTCAAGTACCTTGTGAAAACACAAAGAAAATAAATAGATGCAAGTTAACTGGCTATAGTTTAACAGGAATACAATTTTAAAAGTCTATACATATTGTTCATGTATGTATGACTAAATATGACATATACATTTGACTAATCAAAAAATTGAACATCTGAAAAGTTAAGGTGTGAGAAATTGAAATCTGAAAATCACAAGAAAAGGTGAAAAAAAGGCAAAACACCAAACATACACCATACTTTGCATATATTTTTTGGAAAACAAAATGTAATTTAAGGTCTGAATTTACCAGAGACCTCGCCATAGTAGAATTGCAAATAAAATAAAATTATGAGACCTTAAACACATAGTGCATATTGCTCAGTTATCTCCATTGAACTTGCGTAGCCTAATTTAAAAATGTGTTTAAGCTTGCAAATGTAAAGAACAATCCTAAACCCTGCTGTGGTGTGTGCAAGTAGAAGCAACAGACATTCGTATTTCTGTTTTTCAGATGTATTACAGGGAAACACAGAGGCAGCAATACTGTTTTTCTTCATTTATTTATTAAAGGTTAAAGTTAAGTGTGTGTTAAATGAGTTCTGCAGTTAACAACTTTTACATTGCAACCTAGTTGTACGAATGGTACAAATCTCAACTGGAATAAACCTTTCATGTAATTAACTGGGAAGACTATAACAGCTCAAGCCAGTGTGCCAAATGTCCTGTCCATTTTCTCTTAATGTTCTTCCCAGATCTCCAGTTATTTATCTTAGGAGGGTACTGAACACCTATGACAAGACATGAAGAAAGTTAAATGCCGTTGTATGTGTACTGACTTTCATTTGCAAGAAACGGAAGAATGTTTTCTTATATTGGTGAAAGAGCTGCCTTGTCTGTGTTTTGTATCCTACCACAGATAACGGCCCTGTGTCAGGAAGCAGCACTTCTGGCTCTTCAGGAGGACATCAATGCCAAGTACATCAGGGGAAAGCACTTCGAAACTGCTTTGGAGATTGTAAAACCGAGGATTCCAGATTCCCTCATCCAGTCGTATGTTAATTACCAGAAGCAGAGTGGCCTATATACTGCCTCACATTGCTAATAAATCTGCCTTCTACTGTATGACATTACAGTCATTTGTACTTCCGAAAATGACATAAACTTATATAATTTTAATACAAAATGATGCGAAGGATTGTAATAGTTCTTATTTTGTCAAATAGTTCAATGATTTACTTTGAATACAGTACATGCACACATATTAAGCATTTCTAACTAGATCAAATGTTTGAAATCAGATTCTCATATGTAATTATGCTATTATTTATGATCATCTGCAACATACCCATTGTACTGCAGAACATTGTACTGGAACAGTATGAGTTAGGTACCTGGCTCAAAGCTACAACTGCAGTGTCTTCCTAACCAGGTTGTGAGCTCATAGTCTCGCAATATGGACTCCAGAGCAGTTAATTCTATAAGACATGTGTACTGAGAGGCAGGGAACACAACAGAGGAGTTTTGGAACCAACAAGAAGCATTTGTTGCATTTCTATTGCTTTTCAACAAATATACACTGTGACTCCTAAATATTAAAGAATCGCATGTTCCATTGGTGACTAATTCAGTCCATATTAGTGTAAATGTTACAGCATGTGGGATGTCCTGTGATTCCTGTTCCTTACTGTTCTGCCCTAAGGAAGAGAGGACTGATGTACTGTAACTGACTTCACAAGAGACATGACTATTGATGCATGTGCCTGTGATGCATCATGAAAGTAACAACAAAGTTGACTAATGTATTAATTCAGACAGCTCTGTGGACATGTCATTCTCACAGGAAACCATGCGTACATGTGCGATGTTCTGGACTGTTCCTTTAGACACAATTCACTGCTATCTACAGTATATCTCCTTCTGTGAATTGAGTCTGAACTGTGAATTGCCCCACATCTCCATAGACATCTGAAAATATCTTGTGGAACCGCTGATGCTACATGTCGTGGGTATAATCTTGGTTACTGATGGGCCAGCGCCTTCTTGGGATATCTTTTAAAATTTCTTCAGATGTCAGATTTATTCAGACATACTGTGAGCTTAACCTGTATATTAAAAAAACAGGAAAACACGACTTTCAAAACATAATGCAAAACAATAATGCAGACATCAGGGACATCAGATTACTGGGTCAGAGCTTCTCCTTGTTTCATTTTTGTTTTTCATCACCAAACTTTTTTTATTAGAATCACAATTATGTTCTTCCCACCTTCTGTCTGAAACAACATACTTTTCTTTTGCTTTCATTTTGAAGGACTTCAGCGTAACTCCAGGATTCTGGTTTTATACTGGTTTGTATCCAATTCACAAGACCACCATACACTACTGGACACTGCAGCCTCTTTGGTTAATACCTGAAATAATACAATGTCAATTTACAGTTAATAAAAAAATACCGGCCCCAGCTACTTTTTTATTTTATAAAACAAGACTTTAATGTGTTTTTTTTATCTGTATTATTCTATTGAATGCACTATATGCACATTCGGATGTATTCTCAAAATGATGGGAAAAATATTATTTCCTGTTCTTATAGCTTTTGAAGTACAAAAACATTTTATGTCTGTGACAGATTAAAAAGGGGGTAATATACATTACATCATGCTCCTATCTGCATAGGAAGACGTTTAATAAAGAATATTTGAAACCATCGCATCTGTCCTCTTCATGTACACAATATAGGAACAAGTAATAGATTTATTCCATGCTGAAAAGAGAAGAAAACACAACGTTTCGGCTGGGGAGCCTTCTTCGGGTGTGAGGTATGTATACTGTATTCTATATATATATATTGTCCTACCTTTGGTAAGCAGTCAATGGTTAGCACATATTCTGTCAGCTATTCGGTGGTTGAATGATGTGGAGAAATTAAAAAAATCCCAATACGATCTGGAGTAATGAAACGCTTATGACTTTAGGACTTTAGTATTTTTGGTGTATAAAAGCTTTAAATTCTTAGAATCGATTTGTTTAAACGGACGTGAACCTAAAATACCAAAAAAATAGCTTTTCCACGTTATTCAAGATCGAAAACCTGGAGTGCCCAACGCACCACCTTGAACTAGAGCGAGCCACGTGAAAGTAAGACGAACAGAGCAATGTAATAATCTGTTAACTGCCCACGGTTAAACCACTGTTATATATTTAACTGCACATAATTCATAATATATCCGTGTATATAGTGCAACGAGAACAAAGTATTGTAACGTCTCATCTAGTTATTGTACACCTGGAAATAAAACCATGATGTCTATCAGTGGATTCTTCTCTACAAAGCAATTTTTCTATTGTAAGAGTACAAAAAAAAACTATTTCGAATGGGAATTGTTGCGAAAAACAAATAACGAATGTAATTCGTTCAACTGTTATTTTAAGACACGTTATGGAAACTAATCTCAGCATTGCAGTTGTTGTAAATAGTTACAATTTACCATTTAAAACACATTTTTACTATGTATTTAATCTAGGGGAATAACTGAATTCCAAAGGTCGCAATTCGCGATCTTTGTATTTGGGTACAATTTCCCTTTCCACTGTTCAAAATCCCAGACCTGAAAAAGCGGATTTTTACCGTTGACAGAATCTGAAGAAAATGAAGTGACAGAAACGAGCATTTAACAAGGTTAATCTAGCGATTAGTGATAAAATCGCTAATTGCTGCGATTAATAAAAAAATGGACTTTTGGCACCCGAATTAAACGCGAAACCTTAGAAAACTTCGAAGTATTCGTTTTTGTAATCAAAGATGAAACAAAAGCACATTTGACTTCAGTACTGTAGGGTATGCAGTGTTACGTTATTGTTAAATTCTAGTTAAATAAAAGTATTAAAGCACACTGATTTAAAACACTTGGAACAGGATTTTGAAACGGGTTTATTACAGTGCCGGCTTCCCTGTCGTAAAAGTGGCCGTTTCACGTGCAATCGGAACCAGCAGGTTGTTCTAAAGGTCAAAAATCTATTGATTTTTCCATCTGAATAGAACAGATTGACTTTGTATTGAACTTCCCATTCTCATGGAGCCGGATGTAATGCATCCTCAACACCAATCAAACCAGACAGCCAGGAACTGAGAGGGGCATCTTGTCTTTCTTCCCCTCCTCATGGGGCGCTTTACGATTTAAGGTGGTTCTGAAATACTTCCTGAAAGTTAAGGCTGTGTTATGGGGGGGCGGGGGGAGACCAGGGAGAAAAAGACCAAAACATGTACACGTAAAAAGAAAGTGTGGATTTTAAAATTATCCTACATTGCATAATATATTCTCTGTAGCTGATGTTTAGGTGGTTTTAATTGGATGCACAGGCGTTTTAAAGAAAGCATAATTTCGGTTTTAGCCAGAAGCGATGCGATTAAGCGCCAACCGAATGCAAAAACATGATTATTTGGGGGGAGAAATATGTAAGTAACGCGTTAAGAGATTTAAAACGATAGCGAATATTCTCCGTTTTTTTTTTTTAATGAAACTGTGGAACTTTTGACTTTTGTATCTGGTCAGACCATGGAGTTACTTTCCCCATCGGAAAAAAATCCGTTTTTTACGACTAGTTTTAAATTCTTTAATCCAGCGTTTAAAAAAAAAACCAGAGTGCTCCACCTTAAAGCACCACACACCTCTCTCCCTCGCCCACCCTCCCACTGCTGCCCAATGAATTAAGAGCGGATGCGATGTATCCTTTTTCAGGGGCCTGGACGGCCAATGGGAGCGAGCTGGGCGAACAAACACAGACCTCGAGGTTCTCATTCATTCAGTGCAAGAGGCGGCTGTGCAGTGCGGCGCTAGTCTCCCTTTGATGGAGTCTCCCGTGTAGCAATCTGCATGTTCAGAGAATCTTCCTAGGCACGGTACCAGGGTAAACTTGGATGTATCAGCCTCGTCTTCCGACGTATGTTAATTTTCGTAACGGGCTAAGCCCGCCTCGTGTGTGCCTTCGTTACCGTGATGTTGCGTTGACAGTAACGACGTTACCGGACTTGAGAACGGCGCCTCAAGACTTGCCAACCGTATCGGGTCCACTTTTTGTTGCAACGTTTAAGTGTAATACGTGGATTTACTTTTCTGGAACATATTTATGAACTGGTATATGAATGCACACACCCGGAGAAACAGAACTGACGTTGCCTGTTTTGGATTTACAGTCGTCGTTATATGCGATATTTACAAACTTTAATGCATAAGTACAATTCAGGTGGATGGATCTTCTCTGGTTTATTGGTTGATGGATTGGACATCATGGGTAATTGCATATAGGTGAGTCTTCATCCTGTTCGAAGATTTCCGAATTGCCATGTAATGTTACTAGAGCTATGTGGTGCGCAATCGTATTCATATAGCTAGATAGTGGCGCAACTAATGTCCTCGGTGGATATAATAAGCTAAGCACTATAATAATTTACGTCTATTAAATAAATGCGAAGTCATAAAACTTGTTTTTACAAAGGGGTATTTTAATACATTGCGTTCTACGCGTCGAAATCGAGGCACTAAGATGTAACCCCCTCTGCTCCCTGCCACTGTTTTTATTCAGGGTTTTTTTTTTAGTCTGTGTTTAGGAAAGAACGGTCTTCCTTTAAAAATTAGGAAGTTCGCCCTCCTGCGGTAACTCGCAAACACCCCTCCCCCCACGGGGCTTGTTTTCATTCATAAGTTTTTCCTTCCTCCCTCGGCTCGTCTCCGGGATCTGTTTATTAATCAGTTCTTCACTTGCCGTCGGAGAGGGCGCAGCTATACTGCTGAAACCCGCGGTACCGTCAGATAGTGGTGAAATACGACAGATTCAACTTTCGAGAGCATGCTGAACGTGCTTGAGCTATAGCCTGGACTCTTAAAGATGGGTAGTTTTTGCAGATGAACATTGTTGGACGGACTCAGCAGTAGGAGGTAAATTTAGGAATTGTACTGTGCTTTAGGAAAGAAACGCGCGCTGCCCTTCCGATACCGGGACATTTGTTTCAGCAACCTGAACGAAGTCCTTAAGGATGTTTCTGTTCGAATAGTGAACGAAGCAAGGTAAGGGAAAAGGGCCTCTCTTTTTTTTTTGAGGAGACGCACCACGTTTTTCTCTGGCTCGTCCGCAATTGTAAAACGTCGTGTTAAAAGTGGAGCAAATAAGCAGCTTAGTACATCTGTCTCGCAAGATCGGGTTTCGCTTCGGAAACGTGCTTTCACACACGGTCTCACGGCGAGCGTGTGTTGTTTTTCTTGATTCCTAAAGCAGAATTGGTCATTTTGAGCTCTGGAAAAGTATGATTAATATTGACATAGACATAAAAAGGTTAAAAGGTTTGTAATAGTTCAAATTTAACTTTGTACAGTGCCATTTTTACTGCTTGGATGGATGTTTTGGTACATTTAGTACGTTATTTTAATCTGTCAAATGCATTCGCTTAAACTGTTAAATAAGGGAATCATTTTGTCAATATGGACCTTATCCTCGGTTCGCTGCCGCGTCGCATTTTAATGTTAACTAGCTATACAAATGTAAATAGGGACGGGCAGCATTTGAACTAAACCGATATGCGTGCATTGTGAAGTAGGTTGTTGAAAACTTGGGTAATATGCGCCTTGTTTAATGCACCGATCATAAAACTGAACAGTTATTACAATGGTGTGAAAATCCACGCTAATGAAAAATATCGCCAAAGAACCTCATCTCGCAGTTTTGTGTTCAAAAGGATCTGTTATTTACGTGTAAAGAGATTCTACAGATTTTAGCTGAAGCCTCGCTTTAATCGTTTATTGGCAAAGTATTTACATAGTTCAAGCCATTCGCGGCTTATCGTGAAGGCTTCCTGTTTTACGTGCCACGGGGCTCGCTTAATTTTGATTCTCATTTGTTTGTGTCGTTTTGTTTATGCTCCATGTCTTCACAGGGTTTCCGATGCATGCCAAGTCCACAGTGAATGTTGGAAGTTGTGATCACCACAGATGGAGCTCCAAAGTCAACATGGCAGCGGCGGTTCATTCGTTGTGATCCAGCAGCCTTCCTTGGACAGCAGGCAAAGGTTCGACTATGAAAGGGAGCTCCAGCACACAGCCATTCTGTCGTTAGACCAAATCAAGGCTATCCGGTCCAGCAATGAGTACACCGAGGGTCCTTCTGTGGTGAGGAAGCCAGCTCCCAGGACGACGCAGAGGCCCGAAAAACATGAAAGAACTCACGAAATTATTCTTATCAATGTGAATAATAACTATGAACACCGGTCCTCTGCCCAGCCGGGTCAGGTGGGACTGCAGTACAATGCTAGGGTACCTGTGCTGAGCAGGTCTACCAGCACAGGAAGTGCTGCAAGTTCAGGGAGCAATAGCAGTGCCTCTTCTGAGCAGGGGCTTCTGGGGCGCTCGCCCCCAACGCGGCCCAGCTCGGCTCACCGGTCCGACAGGACTGTTCGGACACAGCCCAAGCCGACCGCTCCGGCCGAGGACACGCTCAAAATTTCAGGGAAAGAGGGTATCGCGAAGCACCAGTTCATATGTGAACAGTGTGGGAAGTGTAAGTGTGGTGAGTGCACTGCGCCGAGAACCCTGCCTTCCTGTCTGGCCTGTAACAGGCAGTGCCTCTGCTCGGCAGAGAGCATGGTGGAGCACGGAACTTGCATGTGCTTGGTGAAAGGGATTTTTTACCACTGTTCGAATGACGACGAAGGGGACTCGTGCGCGGACAATCCTTGCTCCCTCTCCCAGTCGCACTGCTGCTCAAGATTCCTGTGTATGGGATTAATGTCTCTGCTTTTCCCGTGTTTACTCTGCTACCCTCCTGCTAAAGGCTGTGTGAAGATGTGCCAGGGCTGCTATGACCGAGTAAAGAGGCCAGGGTGCCGATGTAAGAACTCCAACACTGTCTATTGCAAACTGGAGAGCTGGCCCTCAAGGAGTCAGGACAAGCCCTCCTGATTCTTGTTGCTGGAGAATTTTCTCTCATGATATTCTTGCTGTTTATCAGATCTTAAGCACCTCCCATCCCCTTCTCTACTGAAGAATCCTTTTTGGAGTATGTCTGGAGTATGATACCACTTTTGCTGTTGGACCCTTCTACAAACCAGTGTTTGCCTTACAGTTCTTTGTCTCTTCCTCAGCTACTCATTAACACACTTGACTCATTGTAGAGAATTTCTTTTTTTTTAAGGGAGAGTTCCCTGTGCTTCAAGCTTCGTGTGAGAGCAGCCTCTTACCAAATCTGTGAAGGACTATCTAGACAATATGTAGCTGTTACCAGATATCCATAGCAACCAAGACTTATTTTTTATCTTAAGTAATCGGTGGGCGCCATACAAAACTGGCCAGTTCTGTTCAGTTCAGCTAATTTATCTTAAAAGTATTTCTATAGGATCTGGTTTTCTCCCTACTTCCAAATATTCTGTTCATGGACCACAACCGTGGCATTTTGTATTTTTATTTTTTTTGTAAATTTATGTATAAATCGTAAAGATGAATTTGGGCTATTTTTGGAGGAAAATGTCTGTTAAAACACTTTGTTGTAAAGAATATTTATTATGTGAAGCTCTATTATTTTATGATATTTATTGCAAAAGACTGTCTTGAAATTTTACTCATGTCTGAATATAACAAAATATCAATACTTACTGAAAATTTTAAAGGGTGGCACAAAAGAAAATACCTATGTTAACTATAATGCAGAAAATATATTAATTAATGAAAAATATTTCTTGTCTTGCGTTTTAATTTCCTGGAAGGCTTGTGTTGATTTCATGCATTGAAGCTAATTTTTTTACTTGATCAAACCAAGGTAAAATATTCTGGGAACCTCACTTTAACATTAGTCTGATATCCAAATTGCAGCTTTAATATTCAGGGAATTGATGAACCAAAAGTTATGCAAGTAGTTTGTTGCCAATAATTGCTTCGATCTCTGAGTATTTTAATTACCTGTAATAAATTTGCCCTATTTCCCTCTTAATCCTCACTAAACGTAGTTTAAACCTCACAATTTTTCTGCATTGCACAGAACAAGTTGTTCTTCAACTCCTCATTTAGTAAAATTACATTTGCCATTGAAATGTTCTTGTGAAATCAGTTACACTTTAGATGGAAGTATAATCTCTGCTGCTCATGTATTTTCTAAAACTGCTTTTTTTCTTTTGGTATGGTTTTGATGCATAGTCATCTTTGCTACCTCCAGGGTCGGCCTTGTTAATCTGTTGTATTCTCCATTAATCATTAAGATAAATTTGCCTTTGCTTTCATCTTAAAACAATAGGCTTTGTGTTTAGGTACACAGATCTACCTTGTGACTGACAGAACTAATGCCTGAACCTTGATTTTGTTGTTCAGAACCTTAAGTTAAAGCTCATACAGAGTCTTGATTTTGATGTTTTTCGGAGTAGACAGAAATATAGGTATGCTACTAAGTGTTTTTTGGTTTTCGTCAGAATATGAGGTTATTGCGTAGCATTTTACTTGCATAGCTTGACATACTGCATGGGGAGAAATGCATTAGTCTTGTACGATATGTTTTTTTTAGAAGTTTTAATAATGTAGAAGGTCAATTTAAGGACTCCATGAAGTTAGACCCTGTTTTTTTTCCCTCTAGTTTTATGGCATTAGGGGGGTGTTTTTATTTCACAACAAATGGTCCAAATTGTACCCTAGAGTATGGAGCTTTAAGAATTAGGAGTTATCTAAATTCAGGGCCACCTGTTCAAAGATAATAAACTTGCTAGCAGCCTGCTGAAATTTTATAGTATGCATTCTGTCTGCAATTGCCAGGATACACTGAAGGTGCTGACAAGAGTAACACAGCCTCATTTGGTAACATTTTTTTTAGGCTTTTGTCACTTTAGGAAACATGGTGGCCCTGGGGGGAAGTTACTTGTCTGTTCCTTGACTAAATCTGACAGAACTCTTTGTGGCTTTGACCGAAAACACATGCAACATCTATAAATACCAGGGTTGTCTTTGAAACATGGAGTGAGTAATTAACCACAAGGTATTTTTAGATTGCAATGGTTTATACCCTCAGGGCTATGCAATGGGGTTACTATTTCTTGGATTGTAGGCTTGTGGTATTTTGGATAATTGTAGTTCTGGTTGCTTTAGGTAAACATAAATACAAAGAGCTAACATCTGACAGTTTTTAGGAGCTCAAATGCAAACCCCTGAATTCAAAACGACGAGATAGTGGTTAGCAAAGCAGTGGTTAGCAGCTTTTGAGACTTCTTGGTACTCAGATTTTGGTTGCTAACGTGCAAACAAAAGACCTGAGTTTAAAACATGGAACATTTAATCAGTTCATCCTTAACCTAGTGGCTCAGTATATGGTGTAGTTACTGTGAGTCTAAGCAGTTAGAAGTAACTGGGTTTTTACTACTAAATGGACCTGTCTTAAATTTCTGTTTTTTTTTTCAACAGGAATGAAGCTTTTGTTACTATGAATAGTTTAGTGCAGATTAGCGGTTTGCCAATTTCCTGTTACCTTTCAGAGCTGCAATTTGAGCCCCACTTGCTGCTGGCTCTTTCACAATTGAAAACAATAGGAGACTTTTTCAGGTTTCTCTTTAGAGCTCTTAGACAGAGAGGAAGTGACTAAAGCTGTACTTTACAGGTAATTAACAGTAGATAATGTTTGCTCTGGATTTGGAAAGCAGATAGAGGCAAGCATATGTATTCGGCTCCTCACTGCCTGCATTGTTTTTTTTTTTTGGTAACGCATAGTTCATAGTTTGGAATCTACAATAATGTCTAGGAGGGTTGAGTACACGTTCTTAAATCCTGTTTGGAGGGGCTTTATGAAACACTGTTATTAACCAAGTAAATATCAAGTAAAGTAAATTGCATAACATTTTTTTTCCCCAAACGGATGGTCTGCCTGTTTAATTTGTGTCCCCGTACCCCCAATACACTATTAAACTGTTTGCTGAAACACTAAATTAGAGTAGAGAATGTCTGTCAAATGCTAAAATCTTTGTCCAGTTCTATAGCAATAAGCTTGTACCAAAAGCATTTTGAAGGTCCTATTTTGGGAGTTTACTCTGCTTTTGTAAACAAACGTATTAGGCTGTTTGGACCTGAATGCTTTTATATGAATTCAAGTTAACTTTTCTGTTCATTTTATCTGCTAGAGATTGCTTACGATTATGAACAACATCTTAGTTTAGAGCAGCCTGAGACTTCCTCTGGATCTTAATGATTTGTGCAAGTATTTAGTGATTCCATCAAGTAGGTGAGCCTCTAATGTTTTCTTACGTGAGTGTTTGATTTAAAATTGGTTCCCCCCACCACACACCCACAGAGCTGTTTTCGGGGGCAAGCAGAATTGCTCATTCTGTCTGCTATGACAGCAGTTAGGCTATAAGTGCAAACATTCATGATTACCTTCTGAGTCAGAGTGGAACTGCTGTCCTGTACATTACATGGAGGCAGGATCACTGGTTAGCAGACAGCACTACCATTTGAAAGGTTTCCATAAACATTCATGGAGAAAATTAATCATAAACAGCAGTCTTAACTTTCAGTTTTCCTAACCTCATGTGTTTTTCATTATTTTCCTAATACCATATAAGTAGAAATTAGTAGTGGGGGTGGTGGTTGTGGTGTGGGGGTGGCATTTATTTTACATTTAAAGTTATTTCTAAACGGAGGAATGATAGTCTTAGCGACTCATCATGTTCATTGGAGTTACTCAAGAGCCTTTCTGTTCTTTCGGGTTTTAGGTCCTGAATGCCATTTATGGTATTTTCATATCTTTTCATAATTAAGCCAATACAGTTTTTTTTAATACTGAATGTTTTACATGACCTCACAAAAAAAAGCTCATGCAATATGATTTTAGAGAAAATGAATATTTGACAAATCTACCATACACCCAATTTGTCCAGAGCTTTAAGTACACAGGTCTTCTTAGAGGCTTTGAAAAAAAATACAAGTAGGGATTTATTATTAGTCTTTTTTAAAGGAATTGCCAAAGAAAGTTGTGTTGAAAATAAGGAAGTTCACTTTTGAAACCTGAAAGCTTTTAACTTTGTGTTAGTTTCCTTTTTAAAAAGTTGTGCAAATGTTCTTAAGAAACCCAATCAGTGCTTCCTTTAAATTTGTGAAGGATTAGTTGTCATATTTTCACTTCAGTCTACAGTATTAAGGAAGTATGGAAAGGGGAGTATAGTAGATCTGTTTCTGCAAGTAAACTATTGCTTTAAAAAAATCTGCCTTTCAATGTGCTCCCAGAAATTACAGGGAGGGATAGAGTGAGGAAAGACAGAGTGCAGCTTTACAGCTGCTTATCTCTCACTGTCTCCCAGGAAACATTTCCAGGAGCCTAAACAACACTGCTTTTTTGTTTTTTCTTTGCAGGGGTCTGGCAGAGCTGTTGCATAAAGCTACCGTTAGACAAGCGGAAAAACATGCAGACATACAGCATTCCTTAATGTAAAGTTTTGTTTAATCCAGCTAATTAAGCGCTAATTGTTTTACACTGCAATTTCCTGCCTTTTGTATGGATAATTTTGCATTTCAATGTGTATACTTAACAGCTGAGATTCCCATAGGCAAATACTGACTCAATGGAATGCTTTTAGATGTTGGGGAATGGTCCTCCTTTCGGTGGAAGAAAAACGATGCCATCTTGTTTTGTAAACGATTCTTAGTTTAGTGAAGTGCAGTGATATTGGGATCACAAGCCTTGTTAAAAAAAAACATGGATGAACACAACATCCTTAAGGGAGATCAGTACAAATAACACCCGTGGTGGTGCAGTTCTGAATGCATCAGATCAAAATGTGAAGGTTCAACTGATATCAGAAGCATTCAAATGATCCATGTAACAGAATAAATACTTGCCTGACATCTGTCCATCTTGCCAATGTTACTTGCAAGGTGTGTTTGTTATTACTGTAAGTTATATACATTGTTCTCAAATTTGTTTTGGAGGTTTTCTCAAGAAACCAATCCTTCTATCAGAACAGTGATTTTAAATTTAAACTTGATGTCTCACCCCAGCTTCAGAAATTGAGTAGTATTTCAAATAATCACAGTGGCAGTGAATGAAACAAAAAGCACATCTTTCAATCTATTGCAAGGCTTCTCTTTGTCCTTTTCTGGTGTCGACTAACTGGCCCTGTCTGACTTAAACTCCCATTCTGACTCCTTCAGAACACTAAAAAGAAACTCGAGCCGCTGTCTCATTGATATGCACAACATAAGCCGGTGATGACATGACAGTGTAGTTCCCAGGATCCTCTTAAAAAGAACCTTTCAATAGCTCAATAACCCTTACCTGGATAATAAAAGTTAATAACATTATTTCCGGAGAGCATACAGTTGGCTATGGTGAATGCAATTTTCTACAATCTGGGAAACAACAGGGACGGTTATGTACATCTTGTTCATAACAAATTATAATTTAACTGTTACTTTCAGTAGCTCATAATCAAAGCACATTTATTGAAGATATTTAATTTAGTTACCTGTAATGAAAAGCCAGTTTTAGCAGGTATTGATTTTTCATCCTTTCCAAATGGTATCATATGTAATGCAGTCAGTGGCATAGATATAAATGTTAGGAAAAGAGATTTTGCTTTTCATGTACACGAATGTTTCATATCCAGCATATTTAGAGCATATTCTAGGAAGAGATTGAGTTGCTCTCTAGAAATATAGAATTGATGTTATCAAAATTCGGCTACCCACTAGATTTGTGTATTGCTTTGG